CCGGCCGCCAGGGGCGGGCCCCGGCCGCGCGCCCGCCCTCGCCTGAGGGAGCGCAGCGGGGGCGGCTCCTGACAGCGCCCCGGAGTCCTGACAGCATCTCCCAGCATAAGGAGAAACCGCCATAAACTAAAACACAAGATGCACCTCAGCGTGTCTAAGAACTGCTGCCCATGGAGAGGGGCAGAAAACTGGAGCAGGGTGGCCAGGGAGGGTGCGGAGTCTCCCTCTCTGGAGATATCCCAAAGCCACCTGGACGCGTTCCTGGCTCACCTGCTTTAGGTGACCCCTCCGTGGCAGGGAGTCTGACATGGTGATCTTCAGAGGTCACTCCAAATCCTGAGAATTCTGTGATTCTGGAAAAATTTAACGGAAAGCTCACTTTTAAATTAATTACAGATTACCACATCGTAATACTGCATGGGTATTTAATGTCCGTGAGGTTTGGATGGCCAGCAGTGATTATAAGGAGCAAAGTTAAGTAACTGGACACAGAAAGGCTAGAAAGTGCTGCTGAAAAATCCCAGGACAGTTTAAACTCCTTTTGGTTCTCTAGTTGTTTGTGACTGGTAAGAATCGAATCAAAGAAACATTAGCCCAGCACCGAAAAGTTCCACTTTGCACAAGACATGGGCTGCAGCCTCACATCCAGCAATAATCAAACCTACAAGTGATAATTTACAGATCCCACCCTCCAGGATTTCAAGCCCCAGCTTTTACATAAATTATCAGACTTTAAAATACAGATTTTATAAACAGGGAAGTTTGCACATCACATGACTCTGTACTCTTCACAACAGTCATGGAAAATTATCAAACTCTGTCACACAAACTTTCCCTCTGGTGATGCAGCCTCCAGAGACTCAGCTCAATTCAGCTCACTTGAAATGGCACCAAACACTGCAACTTTTTCATTGGTGATCCAGCCCAAAGGTATTTAGCAAAGATGTATATGCTTGGAAAGCTTCATTTTTGGTCCCACAGTGTTTGCAGGTCACGTGAGGTCTTGTAAATACAGTCCTGGCTCAGGACCTGCTGGCACAGGTTTGTCTTATACACACTCTGTGCTTATTTCATCTGTATGTCCTCTTTTTATATCTTTGTTTATCTAAAAGAGTCAGCTCTGGGGACAAGCGTTCCTGACCTTCCACTTCCCTGTCACACTTTTTCCTACTGCTTTCTGTTTCATAAGGAAAATCAGCTGCTTGCTACACCCACTCACTTGCATTGATTGCATCCCCACTTCAGGGGCTTATGTTATTTATAAAGAAAAGTAATTAAGGTTCCTCATCCCTGGAGTAAACTATCCCTCATCTTCCCAACAGCAAAGCAAGAGGCATAGAGAAATAGGAGTGTGTACAGTGTCACCCAGTGAGAAACAGCATACAGGAGAATTCTTTGCAAGTGCTGCAGTTGAAAAAAAGCTTCTTTGTCCATTTGAAAAAAAATGCCCAAACCTACCTGAGTCTGTCATCTTAGAGGGGGGAAGCAACTTCTGTTTGGGGCAAGGAGTCACTATTCCATGCAATTAATAGAACCATTTTATTTGCAACATATTTCAAAAGCCCCTTATTGGAGAAGGCTGACAGCTGAAGATGTTTCTTTCCAAAAAGAAAAGCACATTCCCAGTTTACCTCCAGGCTAGTAATTCTTATCATGGTCTTCACCTATCACCACTGCTGCCTCTCTGTCTGCAGTGAGATCTGAAATGCCCTGTAGATAGAAGAGAGCTTAGAGCAATCTCTGGCTGCTCTCACAGCCAAACATCTGCTCACCCAAACAGCATTCCAGACGTGCAGTACACCTCCCAGCTTCACAGCAACACACAGGGAAAGAACAGGGAAACTATTTCTCAGGCATTTACATTTGGTTTTAATAGTCAGGGAGACTTTTGGATGCTTGGGTGGCATCCACACTTTTGCCCTGGGAAAAAAAGGCAGCTTAGGCTCCATGCTGACATCTTCTGGGAGACGACACTGCTGGGAAAATGAGGTTTTCCTCTTCTCCTGGACTCTGTTAACAGGCTATTTGTTTTAGACTGAAGCTAACAGCTAGAGCATACAGTACAGAGCAAAGACTTGAAGTAGGGATATAGAACAGGAAATATACAGTGTATAAGCTTCCTCTCCTCCCTGCCCGTAGCAGCATGTCTTCAGCAATGTGACACAGAAGCTTAAATACATTTTAAGGCACGCTTCTGAATCTGCTTCCTCAGCTTCCAGCAACCTTGAAATTGGAAATCCTTTGGGGCCAAAGAGTGTCCTGTTCATGGGTGACTTCTGTTTAGTCCCGGCTGGCTCCCCAGACAGGCGACTGCCTCTGGCTTTTGCCGACTGCTGGCACCATCTGCAGGCCCTGCAAGAGAGGGAAGAGGAAGAACTCAATGAAGTTTCTCGCACCTTGATTTGAGTTTCTTTGCCAGTCAAAATGCAGAAGAAACAGATTGCTACAGGCTGTGGAGGGGCGAGTTTGGCAAAAGCCAAGGATCTACGCATTGCTGCCTCAGGAAGATCCCAAGGTGACACCTTCAGTGGAAGCAGTATGTTGACATGTGGCAAACTCAGATTAAAGTCTGTGTTTCACATATGGATTAGACTGGGGTTATGAACACCTTTGAAGACATTATTTTCTCTTCCTAAAAGGTTATTTTTGGCTAAGAGGGAGATGGAGTGTAACTCCTTCTGGAGCATTGCCCGTGTCATCTGTTGCAAAGAGAAAAGGCTTAAAACTTGGCTATAAAACCTCTACCCATGTGACTGCTTTCACAACTGGACCATTTGTGTTGCATTTACAGCTCTTTTAGTTCGGATTGCACCAGAGCAAGTGCTGAAGAGTCTTACAGTTCCTCCTTTGCCAGCCAATCTGATATTTCATGCACTCACTTGTTTCTGTAGGTCCCATCCTTTGACGTGACCAGCATTGCTGTGCTGGGTGGTGCGTGAAGGAGCCTTGCCTTTTGGCAGTACCTTGAGTGGAGTCCCCTCTATTGGAAGCAGGGAGAGTTTTGTTATAAACAGTGGGAACACAGCACAGTTTAAAAGCATTTTGCAATGTGTGAGTTGCTAATAGCTAGCCAAAATAAATTAGAGCATTGTAAAATAAACGTTAAGTATTTTTTAGTAAAAAAAAACTAACAAAAACTTATGAGCATCAGTAAACACCCCTTGCCAGAACAGTGAAAGATTCTGGCAACATTTCAATAGGATTTTCCTGTCCGGCTCCCCATAACTCCTCCTGGTCTTGTGTGTCTGCACAAAGCAAAACAACTGAAGCTGGCAGATGGTCAGTGCAGTCTATCACTGTGTCCTTGCTGAGGCTTAGGTTGGATATGAAACAAAGACTAAACTGAGATCAACAACTTGCTGCACATGAACCCAGTTGAACATTAATGCTTCCCTGTAGGATACAGAGGCATAGCTGAGGCAGTTCTCTATAAAGGATGTGCTTTCTTACACATCAAAAGCTACTTAGGCCATATAAAAAAATTGATTGTGTTACTGATAGTTCTGATCACTAGTGTTTACCCTGACTTATTTCTCCTATGACAATCCATCTTCTCCAGCAGAGCTGATGCAGGATGTCCCCATCTGTCAGATGTGATGTCAGGCACAGAGAAATCTCTTTGGCCCCTACCTGAATGGTGGCTGACAAGAACCCTGACCTTTGTGGCAATGGATCTGCTACTTGCAGCTTTGGAATGGATGGAAGAGGGTTTGCACAGATGGCTCTCACAGACTTTGTCTGTACTGGGGCTTGAGGGTCCAGGGCTTATCTTTCAAGATCTGAAAAATATAAGATGAGTTAAACCCAGTGGTGTTGTCTCTGACCTGTGACAGTTGTCCACTTTGCACCAAAAATATTTCCTGCCCTTCCCACCTGACCGGCTCAGCTTGCTCTTTAGGCAGGAGGTCAGGGGCATTATAGAAGAATAAAGATATTTAACTTATTTCCTCATGCAGTTTGTACTATGTTTCTCTTACTCTGCTTAAAAACCACCCACTCCCCTGGACCTATGCCTTCTGCTCAGCTCATCACCTTTAGAAAAAAACACTGAAATGTGTTTGTGTTCCCAGTGAAAGTTTGGTTATTTGCAAAGTTTTGTTTTGTGGCAATTTCTTTCAAGGTCTCTGGACTCAGTAGAACAGCAGCAATGTCTATGGGAGGTTTTTCACCCTGGAAAACCTCACATACACTAAGCTGCTTTGCATGTTCTGCCATCACAAGAGCAGGATGCTTCCCACAAGAAATGTGCCTTGAATTCAGTTCCTGCCATACTGACCTGCTGAACTGAGCTTTCTGGCAAGCCACAGAAAGTTGGGCTGAGATGGGTGTCCAGAGACAATGCTTCCTACAGAGTGTCATTTTAGATGATCTGTAACTGCCACTGTGAAGAGAATATGCCAAGAGGTTAGCAGATAAAAGCACAGACCCCTTATCAACAGGGAGAAATGAAACATGTCTAGCTGAGAGCTGTCAAGCTGTGGGGAAAGCCAGAAAGCTGGTAAACATGGTGATAAAGAACACAGCAAGGAATACTTCAGAATTCATTTCTGTCCCCTAATCCTCACTATCTTGGCTACTTTATTTGGTTTTAAAGCCTGGAAACAGAAGCAAATTGAAACATGTCCCATGTTTCTCTCTGCAGAGAAGGCTCCTGCTAAATCAGAGCTGATTTGCAAGGCCAATATAACAGGAAATTTTTAAAGGGATTTCAGTTTCTAAAGGTCCTTCCAGTTTTGGTATGTCCCAGCTTTGTGGACTGGGAGGTGCCAGGTCCCCTTGCCCTAGAGAATAAGTCTAATAATAAGAAAGACTTAGAGTACTTGTCTGACTCAAGGGTGATGGGGGAAATGTCAAATTTCACCCCCCAGGGAATATCCTTCATGTTCCCAGGCACACCCTTTCTGATCTCATCTTTGTTAGGATCCAGATGCTGACTGACATCCAGGGAAGGGCTGTTGTGGAGCTGCAGGAAGAGGGAAGAATGAGATTCTCAGCAGATATTTCTCACTATAAAGCCCCTTCTCTAGCCCAGGCTCTCAGTCGGTGTTACAAAGACGCTCTTGATAGCTCATGTGCTTTTACAGAGTTCCAGCCACCTGCTATTTGCTTCCCTCCTGTAGAGGGTCACCCAGAGTAGTGTAATTTTTCATATAACAACATGACTAACATTAAGTGTATTATTCAAGGTGAAACCCGACTCCATGCCCTGTTCATTCTAGACAATCATAATAAACAGGAGATGCTGCTGCTTGGACTCCCTGCTGAAGACTGGCAATTTCCTGGCAGCCCTTACTGTCTCAGAACACACAAGTTTTCCTGAGACAAAGCAGCCAGCAGCATCTTTCTGATGAGAAAGATCTGAAGGCTTCAGAACAACTATGCCCTGAGCAAACAGAGGACTCTGAATGAGAGTCTCCTTCAGCAGTCACTTGGGGCATTTCATGTTTGGCCATCTCACCTTTGCTCTTCTGTTGAGTGGAACTCCAGAGACAGCATGTTCATAAAACAAAATCCCTGTGCAGCTAATAATGCCAACGTTGTGGGGTTGATCCCTGTATGGGCCATTCACTTAAGAATTTGACTTAATGATCCTTGTGGATCCCTCCCAACTCAGAATATCCTGTGATTCGGTGAATTAGCTCACTTACAGATGCACAAGCTCAGGGGTGCTCTTCCCTCATCCTAAAACCCACAGGGACAGAGACAGGATGCAAATGATCCTAAGCTGGTTCCTTCAGCAGCCTGAAGTATTTGGGAGTTAGGTGCCTCACTGCTTTCACGGTGCCAGCACAAACCCATATGCAGCTCTGAGCTTTGCTGCTGCCATCCTGCCCTCAAGCACCCCCTGGCAGAGGCCAGACTGACAACCCTGAGGGCACCTTCCTCTCCTCACCTTCAGAGCCACCATCCTGTGCTGTTCTACCAGCATCAGGTTGATCTCTTCTCTCGCTGCTGTAACATCCTGAGGTTCATGTGAATCCATGACATCCTTGTCTTCCTCTTCAGTGTTTCCTCCTTTCTCCTCCTTTGATGGCATATCATCCTTGCACGCACCCTGAGCCTTCTCTGGTTCCCAGCTGCCAGGAAAAAAAAGAAAAAAAGAAAGGAACTTCTGGGACACAGTGACATAGCTCTAGTGATGCATAGCCCTTCATTGTGTCTGTCCAGCCTCTTCTTCCATGACGACAGCAGAATTAATTAGTCCAGGCTGCTCTGGAGCTGGACAAACCACGCAAAACAACACACTTATCTTCCTCCCTTTGCCTCCTATGTGATCTTTCTGTGGAAAGAACACCCCAACACAAATTATTGCCTATTCACAGGTACTTGTTGAATATCTTTAATGTCCTCAAGATTGTTTTAACCATAAATGACCCATATCCTAAGGAACTAGAACTTTCAGTACCCAAAGGGAGCCTACAAGAAAGATGGAAAGAAGCTTTTTACAAGGACACAAGGCAGGACAAGGGGGAATGGCTTCAAATGGACACAGACAGGGTTAGATTAGATGTTAGGAAGCAATTCCTTTCTGGGAGGGTGGTGAGGCACTGGTGAGGGCTGCTCTGAGAACCTGTGGATGTCCCATCCCTGGAGGTGTTCAAGGCCAGGTTGGATGGGGCTTAGAGCAATCTGGTCCAGTGGAAGGTGTCCCTGCCCATGGCAGGGGGATTGGAATGAGATGATCTTTAAGCTCCCTTCCAACCCAAACCATTCTATGATTCTATAAAATTTACAGAGGCATTATGTGGTTGACTAGTGGTAGGGAACTGATACCTACTTATAAGTTTATCCAGAAGAAAAGGATGTGGCTGCTTTTGGAATCACACCTAGAGGCACTGAACACAAATGGAAACCACTTTAAAAGCACAAAGTGACTAGAGCAGGGAAGGACCAATCCAGTCTGTGCTTCCACCCAGTTTTCCCTTAAAACACAAATTCAGAATTAGGACCAAAAGAGGTGAGACATCTCCATACTTTAGTCATGAGCCTAAACTCGATGTTCTATGTGCTGGTTGCCTTATGGAACTATAGCTTCTCCTGGTGAGTTTGGAGGTCCAACTATACATCATGTTGGAAGCTAAGGAGGTTCTCTCACTCTGTTGTTAGGAGGGGCCTGCAGGTGTCCACATACAGCTCAATGTTGGTGTTTTCCAGCTCCATCAGGCTGTGACACATCTCTGTTTGTTCCCTGAAAGCCTCCATCAGCTGTGCCCTCAAGGTGTTCATTACCTGGCTGCTGTGTGCCTCAGGCCCTTGGTGCCCCTCTGCTGCAGGAGAAGACATTTCTGATCTGACATTAGGCCAGGTGAAATTCTGTGAAATCCCCCTAAAACTACTCTGGGACCAGGCCACATATTACAAGACATTCCTTTGTAAGACTCTGCTTCTTTCTGCAGTCTTGTCAAGTTCATCCTGTGCTGAAGAAGTCTGATACAGCTTTATGATTGCATTATTAGCAATAACTCGGGCTCATTGCTATGCTTTTGTGAATATAAAGGGGAAACTGCATTGCAGGGAGATCTCTTCTGCCTTTGCACATACCAAAAGGAAAAAGGTATCTCTTTCCTGTGCTTGTTATCTAGAAATAACCTTGGCTGTTGGTAGCAGAGGCCTTATTATATCTCATGTATAGTCTGTCAGAGAACTTGACTATTTTTATTTCATTTCTTGCCAGATTCACTGACAAAAGGAACAATCCCTGGGGCAGAACAATCAGTGTTTTAAAATCTTCACCCTGCCCATCTCTCTATTTTTTTTCTTTTTTAAAATTACATTCAATGGACCATAGAGCAGAGCTCGGTGTCCTGACAGCCTCAGAGCCCGCGGTGACACAGGCTACAATCTCCGTCACCTCTCTGTGAGAGACAGGACTCCCCACAGCAAATGCCACCATTTCATGTCAAATCTCTTTTCAAGGGCAGGTTTGTGAAATTCAACACATTTTAAGGCTGAGTGAGATGCTGAGAAGGGTGATACCCAGAGTCACAGAGGGGCTCATGCACAAAAACAACTTCATCTCCCACACGTGAATCAGGAATCAGCATTCCTGAGCCAGCTTCTCTCAGCCATGAGAGACCCACCGAGCACCACCACAATCCCCACACACAGCCTCTTTCCTTCTCTCTTCCCTCCAGAAACCCCTGAGCTGTTCTAGCTCCTGCCTCTACATTGCAGAACCAAAACGTTGGGGCCAACTGCACTTTTCTCCTTCTCCTGCTTCTCAACTCTCTCCCTCAGCTGCTTGATCTTTCCACATCCATACCTGGCATGTCATCCTCTGCATTTCCATTTTTCTGCCTAATTTCTTTCATTTTCATACTTCTCATCTCACACAATTTGTTTTCCACTGTTCTCTTCATCAGCATTTCCTATCTCACTCACACCTCTACACCAACCTGCGCTGCCTGCTCCTGAAGTTTGTTCTTCCTTCATCCACTGCATCTTCTATTTCCACTTGCAAGCTTTAAGTCATAGAATCATAAAATTTCGGTTGGAAGAGGTCTTAAAGCCCCTCTTGTTCCACACCTGCCATGGGCAGGGATTCCCTCCACTATCCCAGGTTATTCCCACCTCTGTCCAGCCTGGCCTTGACACTTCTAGGGATGGGGCAGCCACATCTTCCCTGGGCAATCTGTGGCAGGGCCTCACCATCCTAATCAAATCTTTAAGGTCCACCTCCTTGGGAATTGTTTGCTCTGGTATCTGTGTCTTGCTGTTTTTTGCTCAATAGGCAGAGGTCAAGGTCATTTGAGATTCTTCAAAGATGATGTGGATGTGCCAGGGTTTTATTGTTCAGGGACAACTGCTGTAGCTGGGTACCCTGCAGTTCATTGAGATTCTGGTGGAGAATCCCAATTAGGAGTGAAGGAAGTGCTGGTAAAATACCATTCATTAGGCCCTCTCTCCTTCAACAGTAAAATCAATAAGTAATTAACTTGCTACAAAAGAAGAATTTTTGCAAGAAAATCGCAATTTACACAAATGCACTGGCAGTGTCTCAATTCTGCTCATGAAAGGAGCCTGCCTTTCCCTTCATGTCTCCTCCTCCCCACTATCCTCTAGAAAACACATCTGTCATGCAGCAGCAGTGAGAGCTCAGCACCAAGGCTTGAGGCAAGGTTCATATATGAGGTTGTAAAGTATCCATAAAATAACCAGCGAGGCAAAGAGCGTGTCTGCAACCTTTCTGATTTCCTAAGGGAGAGACAACTTATGACAGCACACACTCACTCTCAGTCCTCCTTCCTCCTGCCCCAAAAAATTTATTGTCCAATTTCAGCCAAATCTTATAGAAGGGATGAAACATTCAAAGGCATTAAGTGAATTTAAAAACTCACTGATCACCTGTGAGCTTAGAGATGTACAACCCACATCTAGAGAATTTCTTTAACCCCATAGAAGCTCCTTCCTTAATCCTTTGAGAAGCAAAATGAACAGGTCTTTCCTGTTCTGTTAAAGACACAGAGAGTAGCAGCAAAGCCCAGCTGCCACATGAGCAACTTTCCCCCACAAAAAATGATTCCTATTGATTTTGTCCTTCACCCCATAATTTCTGCCAGGTACTCCAATGTCTCACCCCCAGTGACACTGCCTGAGGAGAGAGACAGCGTGTGCTATCCAAAAAGGGTGATCAGAGGACTGGCACATGGGCAGACAGGTATGTTAACTGCTCACCTAGGTGTCCAGAGCTAGAGCTGCAGTCTATAAATGCTTTCTACAGCTACATCTGTTCTCCTGAGATCAGCCTCCAGCATTGCACAGATGCCCTTATCACTTCCTCCTTTTTAATGGGAAGATTTGTCTCTACTGAATTCTACCTTAATTAAGTGACTTTTCTAGCACGGCAGCTTCACTGTTACTTTAGCATTTAAGTGAGGTCCACACTTCCCAATGAGAATGGTATTTTAACTCTTCACCCTTATCCTCACAGTAAGCACTTAATTGGCTCTATATTTGAGTGTTTTACAGCTATATTTTATTTCTCTGGAGCAGAACAGCTACAGGGACTACTTTACCTCTTGGAGCGTATGCAAAAATCATTGCACTGAAGCCAGAAATGACTCCTTCTATCAGGCTCTTTGTTGTGGACATATATACTTCCTCCTAATTCAGTCAAAAAAAGCACTAACTTTTGGTCAGGCACAACAGCTGTCCAAATGATCTATACCTAATTACATTCTCTGTGATTTTCTCACTGTGTTTTAGAAATTTCCTGGGCTTTGGAAGGATTTGCAAGCTGTTTGAATTCTGATACATCATAAGAATGAGCAGAAAAGCACAGAGGTTTATTGAATTTTCTAAAGGCAGGCAAGATGCAGGAGCCTACTGAAAGAAATATCCTTCAATATCATTATTTTATTGGACTCTGAACATGAAATGCTTTGGGGTTTTTTGTGTCTGCTGAATAAAGGAGTAAATTCACTCCCTGACCTTTATTGAGAAGTGCCACTGGGCTTCCAAAAATGTCTTAGGTAGCATACAAGGGTAAAGTTTGATGTGAAAGAGAACACAGGTGACTGAACTGCTGTGAGAAGCAAGGCTGCAGTCACATCGTGGTGATCACAAAATGCAGGCACTGATTAATTCCTCCCCGTGCACCTTTCCCCAGTCTGCAAAACACAGCTCAGGGGGGGCACCAAAGCTCCCCTCACGAACCTGTAAAACCACAGAGCCCAGGGAAGAGCAGCAGAGCCAACAACATGACAGTGACCTCATTCACCAGAGAGCTCGGGAGACAAAGCTCCTCACCCCTGCTCAGGTGTGGTGCACCTGGGGAGGGCCAGTGGGGGAGAGAGGCAGAATGAACATCCCACATCTCCCCTGCTTCTCTGGCAAAAGGAAAACCCTCCCAGCCCTCTCACCTTCAGCACTGTCACCTTTTATCTGGGTGACAAGTGGCCTCTGGGCTGTGAGGTTCTGTTAACCTGCCAAAAACAATTAACTGAGCAGGGAAAACAATTCTAATATTAAGCATTAAAAAACAATTTAAAAATAGAAGGCTGTTACCTGAGTTGCTGTGTGATCAAAACCCACATCAAATACAAATGTTTTTCCTCAGGATCTGTTAGCTCACGAGATGCCATCTGGGTTTCTGCTTGGATCCATCAGGACCACCCTCAGTGATGGGATAAAGGCAGAGGGAGAACCGCTAGGTCTGGGTTTGGATGGCAGCCTATCGGGATTCCTCACAGCACCATCCCTTGGCCAGAGGAATGCTGCACTACAGCCTTGCCTGGAAAACACACACACACAGGGCTGAGGCCGACAGACCGCGTTTTGCAACTGATGTAGCAACTTCTGCAATCTGGAGAACTGCAAAATCCTTGGAGGGGCCGTTGAGCAGCAAAACGGTCACTGGGGTTGGGCAAGAGCAGAGCATGCAGGGACACAACAGAGGGGAGGGAGGGACAGCACCTCTTACCTCCATTTTCAGCTAAGATTCAGACAGAGGAAAGAAAATAGGCAGGTTCCACAGCAGCAAAATTGCCCAAAGCCTTTTGTGCAGAAGGACTGAAGGAAATATCTGCATTGCTCAAGGACAGAAACTTCATTCTGTGTCTGGCTTTTATTAAGGAAAAAAAAACCCAAAGGTGGGACAGGAGCTGCAGCAGGTTACAGAACAATTCTGTTTGTTCTCAGTCCTTTCAGACTTATTTCAGTACTGATTATCACAGTGTAGAGTTCCTGTGGAAAAAGGGGGCCTTTCCCCTCCACTGAGAGAGCTCACAAGGAGATGCTCAGGGGAAGGACAGAGAGCCCTGTGCCTCCTTCTGCAGAGCAGCTTTAGTGCTCTCTCAGGTGAACAGATTGTTAGATAAGCAATTAGAGCATAGACCAGCAGAATAACCCCACTGGTGCCCCAGGAGAAAGACAAGTGTCCAGGACAGGTGCCTATGGGGTTCAGGAAACTTCAGAACTTTGGGGTTTCCTTTTATTTTGCATTTCCCACTAAATTCCAAGTCTCTAACAAGTAACTCTTTGATCTGCCGAGTTTTCAATTACCAGAATTACTTCATGATTGTTGTTTTTTTTAATTCTTTCCTTTTCACTGGTCCAGATCAGGCTTTAAGAGCTGAAGCAACACAAGAACAAACTGCAAAGGGAGCTCCTGCTTTGTCCTTGGTGGCAGCATTTGCCTGCATAAGACAGACTGAGACATAATCATGTGCACAGGCAAGTGTGACAGGCGGGAGTAGAGCCTGGGGAATGAGGTCAGCCTGTTTCCTTGAGAAATTTGTCCTGTAACACTTTCAGGTCCCTTTTACTGAGCTCACTTAACAGCCAAATTTTGCTCACACAGTGTATCCATGCATCCAAGAGTCCTCCTTTTTTCCAACCTGGGGCTAATGCCTTGTCTAACTAGCAGTATTCTAAAAGCACAAATCTTCTGCTGTTTCATGGAGGCATTAAAATATAACAAGCCACAAGCAGAGTCAATTTTGAGTTAGGATTAATAAGCAGACAGAAGCAGTTCTAAATGAGTTCAGCTGGGAGTAAAAATAGCAGGGAACATGAATGCAAATCAAAATAAACCAGGAAATTTAAGTACTTCGACTGCCCAGTCAATTAATTTGCTTCCAAAATTACAGTTATTTGCATTATTAAGAGAAAAGCATTCTCATAGACAGAAGTTACTCAGACTAATGTAATGCACATTTCCTTCCCAAATTTCCATTAGAGAAAATACATCTTGGGGAAGATGATGCAAGTCTGAATAAGCTGTATAAAAATAAAGCTGATATCCTTGCAAGATTAATGGTTCCTTTAAAATAGGAAAAAAAAAAGGCTATTTCATGAGTAAGGTGCTAAATAAAAATTGCATTTGTAATCCATAAAAGAGAAAGAAAGATTCATGCTCTCTTTGCTTCTGAGGGCTGCTACCATGTGATTTTTGTGTGGAGATAAGATATATTACAGAATTAGTGTGTGTTCAGGAAGGGTTCAGAGAAAGATCAGCTGAAGCACAATAAAAAATAATGAGATTTATATAGAAAATGAAGGTAAATAACAAGGGCACAATAAAAATATGTAAATAGATGTAGTAATGTAGAAGAGGCAAGCGAGAGCCTCCTGCCATTCCTGCCTCTTAGAGAGATCAGCAAGAGGTGGAAGATGCAGAACTGGAAAAAATGAAAGTGCCACTGCATGAGAAGCTGCATCCCTGCTGTGTCTCAGGAAAGGCAGGAGTTTGCAGGATTTGAAAGCAAGGGCTTGCACATGAACCAGAAGAGCCAGAGGCTCGTGGTGGCTCATGGGGTACCCAGCAGAGTCCCTGGTGTCCATCATGGGGGTACATGTACAGCCCCAGAGCCCACCTGTGCACAGCTCCCCTGCTCTCCCACTCTGCAGGCAATGAGTGCAGCTCCTCCTCCTCCTCAGCATCACTGAGGGCAAAGGACCACCTGCACACACAGGCACAGGTGGCTTTTGTGTGCTGAGGCCACCCAGAGCTCCCTGCAGCAGGGCTCACCTCTGGGCAAGCACCAGCTGCAGTCACAGCCTCTTGCTGTGTCTCTTCTGCTGATCAAACTTGAAACATAAGAGCTTTAAAGCCTAGAGAGTTTAATGAAGTTTATAAAATTTAAACCAGTTCATTCTCCCATAATTCCCACCTTTATCTTGACAAATTCTTCCTCCTTCTGCCCCTGTTTCTGTCTCTAACACAGCAGCACTCTGATTGATTGACAGGGAAGGTGGCAGAGGGAACTCAGCCGTGTCATTGCTGCAGCCAGCAGGAACCTTCGGAGGTCTGGGACCGTGGTACCTGCAGTTGTAGAGCTGAGCACAATTACAGATTCCCCTGGTGTTCCCAAAACACCGATTAAAATTATCCATGACAAAGAAAGGGAATTGAATTTCACTAAGTAGCCTTTTTGTTTAATCCCAGGTAACAATCATTATGAGCCTGTTCAACCAGATCAGAGCAAGTTGGCCCTGATCTGTGCGGGTCCCGCAGGGTTCCTCAGGAGCTGGAATTCATCTGGAATTCATCACAGGACTGGAGTGATTATAAAGCAGAAATTAAGTGCCAGTGCCTTGTGCCACAACTCAATCAGTCAGAAACACTCTGCTCTGTTTGAAACACAGACATGATTTGACTCAAGGATTTAAAACACAATGGCACAACCTGTGTGTCGGCATTAATAACAGCCAAGAGCACGTGTATTTGAGCCTGTTTAATGTGCAGGTGAAGCCTCAGAGGAAAAGCTGCTGTGGGGTTAATGGGCCCCCTGAAGCTGGGATCCTGCTCTGGCCCTCACCCACTGTGGGTGAGTGGCACAGTTCCAAAGCTGTGTGCCTGGCAGAGGTTCTGTTTGAAATTCCACCTAAAAAATGCCTTTGGGATTTCAGATAACAGATTTGAAAAATTCTATTTTCACCTTTCCATGGTTGTTTTCACTCTCATAAAACACAGTGACATCCCCTTTGCAGCTCCTGGCAGAAGAGCTGATGCTGCTAAAACATTTCATAACGCACAGGAATGATGCTGTACCCAGTGAGCACTTTTCAAAACAGACTTGTTCTACAGCCCTACCAGTCACAAGCAACTAGTTTCTATAGGAACCAGTTATCTCTACAATAATGAGCCATGTACAAATTAAATGAGGGTTCCACCAACAGCTCCCAGTCTCAAGCAGTGTAATAGACAATTTTGAGTGGTTCCAGCAGCAGTAAAGGAACATTTCTTCACTATGAACACCTCGAGTACCAGATGAGCTCCCTAGCTTTGGACAGCTTTTAATATTCACAAGGATAAGTTAATTGCAGTTTCAATTCAATCAGCTCTATATAAACAGGGCTGAGGGACACTGCTATGAGCAGCTCATCCTCACAGCTCTTCCCAACTCTCTAAAAAGCAATTAAAAATATTATCCTGCACACTATAATCACGAATTCTACAGGAGGTGGAAGGGATCGTGCAAGTCTCTCAGAGAGCTTAAACTGCAGAATAGTCCAGTTAATCACTGCATCTGGGAGCCCCAGCCACTGAGGGTAAGAAAACAAACCCAAATGAGCAGCATGTGGAGCCAGGTCACACCAAGTACTAAGGCTTTTCCTTGCATTAGAGAGGAATGCAAGGTATTCCCCATATTATTGACTTTGTTTTAAGCGATTCCAGTTCGAGCAGAGGTTTCTGTGTCCACCCCAATCCTGTTTCAGCATACTGTGAGAGCAGTGCTTCAGTTTAACTGAGAGGCATGGGGTTGAAGGTTAAAACTTGGGAGAGGATTACATTTTCAAAGCATTCCTCTTACTGGGATCAACACAGAGATGCTGAGGCCCTGCAGGAATTGTGAGAACTCTGGCAGGACTTTAATCCCAGCTGCTTTTGGCTGCTTATTGTGAATCTGTCACTCAGGTCCCAAAGAGATGGAGACAATGAGGATCACTGTGACACCACCACCACCTGCCAGGTGACCCAGCCTCACTCACCCTACTGCACATTTTTCTCTGCAGATTAGTTATACACAACTTGCTTTAAGTCATGCACAGATAGCACAAGTCTGGCTTTTCCCCACCGATTGGACCAGGGAGCCCAGGAACACCAGTTGATGCATTATAACAATTCATAAAAAAGCCCCCATAAGATCACCCTTTGTATTCATTATTTATTGACAGTAAAGGAGTCAAAGCTCTTAAAAGTTGCAGCAAAGCTTAATGAAAAAATACTAGACTTAAAAAAGTTAAAACTTAGTATAGCAACTGACCAAAATTTGCTCTATGAAGTTTCATTAAGGGCTGTAGAGGGTTAAAAGATCATGAGAATATTTATTACAAATTCAAGATAAAGATGGAGTTAAAAGCCCAGGATTATATGAATTGGTCCAGTTAATCCTGCTATTTAAGAGCAATCATTAAAAATACTTAATACAATATTTAACAAAACCAAGAAGAGATTATCTTAATGGTTAAGGTTTGTTTCCTTTCCCACCCAAATTCTGGACCCTTAAGGGCACTCAGTGGAGGTACAAGTGCTCTGGGAAGCCTTTTTCCCCACCATATACAGCTTCAGACAGTACCTACAAACCTGCTGCTGCTTTGACCATCTTTCTGTAGCCCTTCCAAAGGCACAGGCTGAAAAGCCATGGCAGAGAACTCAAAGCTACACAGATGGATCCAATCCCACAGGACCCTCCTCCCTACTCCAAGATATGGCAGAGAGGGTAATTTACCAAGTACATTCCCATAAAGCAAATTCAGTAGCACATAATTTGCAAAAAGCATGTGAAGTAAGAAACACAAGAGAAAAGATGAAGCAATTGAATTATTATGAAGTAATGATCATTCCACGATCACTGGAGAATTTAGTTGTGCTCTAAGTTCTTCTGCAATGTTTTTCTA